GGCGTGTCTGTTCCAAGTTTGAAGACATGAAGTGGCAACAATCGAAAATCACGATTTTGCTTATCCTAAAAAGGAGGGTAAAACGACAAATGTTCTCGGAATCACCTCGAACCTTCGTATGAATATGAAAGGGCTGATCTTCCTCTATAAGATGACACCCAAGTTGTTTGAAGTGCAAAACGGCGGATACTTTTTGACCGACCTATAGCTTTGGAAGGCAAAGATTCGGATGAATGTCGATCGATCCAGCAATCATTGACCCAGAACACATGGAAATGCTCAAGACTCCGAACGGATGTTGGAAGTGTGATGTAGCATAAGGGTTTGGTTCTACCTAAGGTCAAAAGTTGGCCCATCAAGGTGGCCGTTCAGTGACTGCATGAAGAAAGTGCAGTTTTCCTTTGTTCGTACATTCTTTGGTGGGCATTCCGAACATACAAAATGTTATGGGGTTGCTGCAGAAGCTTTTTTTCTAAAATTCTGAATGAGATCTGTGATATTTTGTCATTACCGCAGTAGCGGATTGTACCGATCCAATGAAGGAGCGCAATACGAAAGTGGTTCCTTTAAGTTGAAGGATGCCGTAGGTTAGACTAACTAGAATATGTATCTTAGTCTACATTACTGATAAGAAGTAAGTTTTTCAAATTGCTGGCTCGGAGTCGTTAGCTACTAACATTGAGATTCACGGAAAGGTCATTTTTTGTCCTCCGCGAGCGATTCACGTCAAATTGACTTTGAGGTGTCGTTTGGGTAAAAGTGTTTCTTTTGACGGCAAAACTTCAACTAGACTCGAATGGAAAGAAGAATTTGTGCCTAATCTGTTGTCAGAATGACTGAAAGAAAGGAGGTTGTGATGTTTTGTAAATCGTGAATGTTCATCGGGTTGAAACGTGGATCAGAAGAGATTTGCTTCAGTCCAGAATGGAATTTTCTCACCGACTTCCCCTCTCTCCCTTTTGGATGGGGCCTAATAGGGCGTTATGTAGGTAAAGGTGTGAGCTTGCAGCTAAATATTTTGTATTTGTGATGAACACGGTTGGAGTTTTTTTTTCAGGGTTTGTGGTACGCATTGCGGAGCGATCGTGTTCGAAGTATGAAGCCATTGATGGAAGATCTCGCAAAAGCGATGGGTGATTCAACAGCCCTTCCACTAGGCATACGTCATATATTCAGCATAGATGGGCAAACTCGCATCACCGATATCGACCAGTTTGAAGACGGAGAGTCATACGTGTGTTCTAGGTTAGTGCATCGGAAAGCAAACCTAAACTTTTTTGAGTTACTGAAGTTGTTTTTGGTTCTGTTCAAATTTCTTTTGAAGAGACTGATTTATGAAATTTCAGTACGGAAGCGTTCAAATCTGTAGATTATACGAACGCACGTGAACCGTTTTGGTGTTTTGCGCTTTCGAGAACAAATCGACCGAACGATGCCGCCATGTTGGGTCTCTGTGGAACAGATCATGTTGCCGTGAGTTTTGATATTTTCTTGTTGCATGTTATCATTGATAATCAGACGTGTTTTCTTTTTGTATTGAATTATAATAGTGTTTTTCAATTTCTATTATGAGGAAACACTTTGCATTGGGGAGTTTTTTTTCTAAACTTTTAGAAATGAATATTGAACAATCAGAAGGGCTTCCACACAGCTTATTTCTGGGGAGCAAATATTATATCGCTGGCTATGCTAGTTACTTGCTTATTTGTAGAGATCTCCCATATAATCGTATAACTCTCTCAACTCGACCCTTCCAAACATTTAGCAGCTACCATTGAGGAAGGCGATGCCGGATTGTAGAGAACTGAAGGAGGGAGCAGTAGCTCTTGGTAACCGGTAAATTTCAGTTTAACAGCAATCTCTGAGATTACTGCCTTTTTTTTTATTATACGCACTCAAAGAATAGTGGAAGCGCGCCAAAATCAGTATGGCGTGGAAAATCAAGGAACATAGTATAAAGCGTGAAAAAGCACACAAAAGTGTAAGGAGAAAAAAGTATTGAAAGAAATCTGCAATAGTCCAAAGCTCTACAATTAGTTCCCTTGGTACTTTGATTTGTGCATAAAGAGCTGATTAATTCCTATAGGAATTCAAGAAGTCATGACACTGCTTTCAAGGAATTCCTACTTTGCCCACTTTGAGTGACAGCTATTGTCGACCCTGTATCCATGAAAGTAGAATCGAAGTTCCTTTGGAGCAGTTCGATTGATTCCGCCGAAACTTGATTCGGTTTAACAAGATAGTAAGGTATGAAACAAGACGCTGGTAAACCTTCCTCACTACTGGCGCGCTTGCGTTTTCATGGAATTTTTGCTAGCGTTTCGGCATAATTACTGCTGGATCCTTACACAATGCGTAATTCCTCTACCGAGGAATGCTTGGGTGCCGTAGCCTTTTTGACATCGACTTTGGGAACGCGGAATGGGTTTGCAATGGTGTGTCATTATGCCACCGACTTTTTATTGCGCATTACTGTGCATCGATTTTGGCATTCAAAGCACTGAAGCAGAAATTCAGCCAAATTTTATTTTTCACTGTTGATGGGAAATCCTTTGATAACATTTGTATTGAATGCATTGTTTGATTCATTGGAATGGCAAAATACCTGATACGGATTATTATTATTATTTTGATCTAATTTAATTTTGTTATTTTATTTTGAGTATTTTTATTTAATTAATTATTTAATTTTGTATTTTAATTTTAATGATGATTTAATCAATTTTTGTGCTAGAGCTGTTGGTCGCTGCTCTCATTTCTCTCCTACCACCTAGTCAACTAGGCTAGCTAGAAATACTTTTTCTATCCACAAACACTACCAGATAGAGTTTAGCCTCAGTTCTAAAAGCTTCCCGGGCCATGAGAAATGCCGGGAGGAATTTGATAATCCCACACTTTTTCAAGTTTAGTTATTTTCTTTAGATATGTTGTTATGTTCTCTCTTTATCATTTTGGATTTTCACGGGATTCTACTTTGTCATGTTTCACTTTAAGGTCGAACCTACCCACTTTGTGTTTCCACGTATCATCACCGTAATCCGTAATGGTGTGAAGCCACGAAGAGTTGTTCGCCATCTCTTGAATAAGAAGACGGCAAGGTGACTTTACATTCACTTCACTCATTTGGTATATTACTTACTGAAATTTTCATGATAATTACTAACTATTTAGGCGTGGCCAAGGTTGTTTTCGTATAGCATACATTATACGAAGTTATACGACCAAAGTGATGTGCTGAATCAATAATAAAGAATTGATATGATCTTTCTTAGTTAGTGTATCGATTTTCGAGCCTGTTCAAGACATGAACGAGTCAGCTTTTAGATCGTTCGATCAGGTCATGACGGATCTCACGTGTGTGGTTAAGCTTGATAGTGGTGCTATCCGGAAACTGTTCGCTTTAGGGGGCAGTGCGGTGAGTTCATTTCCTACTCTGAGTTTTCTCTCGTTTTTTTTGGAAGGAATCGTTTTGAAATCTTTTTAAGGTGCTCACATTGCAAGACTTTTTTCGAGAAGACGATGTTTTCATAGCATATGGTAACGAAAGGGCCAGCGCCGACGACTTTTACGTGATTTCGGAAGGTAACTTTGTTCTTTCCTTCTCTCTTTTTCCTTCCGAGACTTTCAAATGGGCCGCAAGGAATAGTAAACAATGAATCATCAAACGCTACTAGTTTATGGAGAATGGTTAGTCATGGGGTTGCTTTTTGGCCAGCGGATGATAGATGAAGTGACTTTCCGGCGAATTTGAAGAAATCGATCAGGTCACTTTCCTGTTTGATTCTAACAGACCGTCAAGTGTGGCTAGAATTTATTCAGTCCAGCGACCCTTTCTGAAGTGCTTCCCTCAGCAGCCTTCTTTTCTGGACATTAACCTGCGAATTGACGTTCTGTAATATTTTTGAAATAAAATCCATGGTGAAAAAAGCTTCACATCGTACCCGCAATGATCCGTTAAGTGAGTTTACACATTCTCGCCAGGATTTTTTCTTCTCAGAGATGATTGCAAATCTCTGTTAATCACCGTACCGTTGCTTTACACCGCAATTCGTTTTCACATTTTCTAGGACAAGGTGTTGGGGCAGTCCCGCAGCCGCTAAATTAGTATCATCGATTTTGTTTCCGTGATTCGTTTCTTTTATATCATTATTACCGCATTTTCCTGGGGAATAAGTGCATTGTTGATTAACATATCCCCTTATAACTCTGAACCGTTTGTGTGGTAATTCATACTTGAAGAAAGTTCAAGAGTTTTTTTTACTTTTGTTTCTTTTCATATTTTTTGACACACTTTTCCTTTAAATGTTTTTTTTTAATTGGAATGATCAAAAATTTGAATGAATCTACTGTAGGTCTGATTGGTATCTGAATTAGTGATGCTGGGCATTCGAGCGTTGCGGTAATGAATTGTCTAGACTAGGTTTGGAGAGTAAAAGACCTTTGAATTTGTGTTTGGAATTTTGTGCTTTATTTTACAGACATTATTTACAGTGCCTACTATACTACTTCTATTAGTTTGTTGTTCAGTTTGTGGTTAATTAATACACAACTGAGTAGAACTCAAATAATTTGACTAAAGGTGATGCCAACTGACTCAGGAGCAGCGGTTAGGGTTTAGAGTTCTATCTAAAAATACCCCTGGTACTTTTAGCGGTCAAGCGAGGTCTCATTTTTTTGTCTTTAGAGTATAAACGCCTCTATTCTGGTGGAGTACGTCGTGGTGGTCGACGAGGTGTGACCTCTCGTCCACGAGTGATGCCAGCTCGAAATGAAAGTCTGCGGGATGATCGCTGTGGTAGTGTGGTGCCAGATGAGTTAGGTATGTTTTTCCTTAATTAAACTTCTTATCTTTTTTTCTTGCATTTGTATTATTTTTTGCTTCCTCGGTTGCCTAGTTAGAACCTCCGCTGATTTTTGTTTGGGCTACTCCTATTGCACCTCTGATGCGTTTTTATTTTCCTGTTCTTGTAGTATTACCCCTTTTGAAGGAACATTTTTGAGAATCTCCGTTGGTTTTCCTTCATTTTATCCTTTTGAGTTGCAACCAGGGTTGTGCGTTGAAACTGTAGGAAGCCACATCAAGTACTTTTAACGGGGTTGGATTCTAGAGATAATCAAAGGCCGTCTCCGCTTGTTCCTTGCGCATTGGACTTGCGCTGTTAGAGCAGTGAGCCGGAAGGGTATCAGCCATCAGGGACTTATGGAATGCTTCAAGGCTGCCCGCCCGGGATTACCCTGGATTGCTACATCTGAATCGGGGTTGCTTATACATAATAAATATGAGCGACGTTATTCCGTTTGGGAATATCGCTTTTTTACAGCACGCAATCTCCCTGCTGAACTGGATGAGAGATTCACTGTGTTACGATTGCTCGGTGATGGCAACACCGCGCTTGTGTACGAGGTCATGGATCGGTAAGTTGTTTCCAGACTGATGCCTCTTTAGGTTTTCTATGTTCCCAATGAGAGTGTTTTTTTTGCTCTTTTTTGTCTGTATAGTCTTTCCTTTTCTGTTTTTTTCGAGGTATGTAATGTAACTGTTCAGACGGACGCAAGAACATGGCGCGTTGAAAGTGATTGCGCGTGACTCGGCCGTTGGAAAGATTGCGCTGATTGAAAGCGAACTGGCCATCATGAAACGGATCGAACACCCATTCATTGTGCAAATGTTTGACAACTGGACAATTGACGGCGCTTATTACCTGTCACTGGAACTGGTTGAGGTTAGGAAAACTTTTTCGCAACATTTTGTTGAGGTCGTGAATGTTTTTTTATTATGTACTACCCGAGCCGCACGTTTTTTTTTGGGATAAACGTCGACTAACTTTCCGGAGAACCTTTTGGGACCACAGTGCAACACTAGATAAGGGTCACAAGGGGGTGGGGGAGGGGGAACGAAATTTGAGAGAAGTAGTATCCACTAAAGTCTAAGAGGAACAACAGAGGAATTGAGAGACAATAGGAGAATGTCTTCAGACTAGCGAGCAACTCACCTTTATGTTTTTTTGTTCCTTTTTCATGTTTTTTTTTTTTCGTTTTTTTACTTTGTGCTCTAATTTCTTACTTACCGTTGCCTAAACAATATCCTTCTCTTGTGCTATCCATTTGCTCTTTAGTACTGTGCATTATCGTTGTTATTGTATTTGCAACATTCCTTTTTGTAAGGACTCGAATTTTTACAAGTTGCAATACCACTTCTAATTCAGGGTGGCGACCTGTTCGAACATCTCTGCGTTGTAAGGCGCATAAGCGAACGTCAAGCTGCCCGTCTGACCAAGGGCTTAGCACAAGCGTTGACGTAAGTTTGGAATTAAAAATTGTTTTGAATTGTTCAATATGCCTCTAATTGCTATTCAGTGCTCGATCATTTAGGAACTGCAAGGCGATTTAGAATCGTCATTTATCACCACATTTCATCATTCCACAAATGTTTCTATTTAGTATCTTCACGACAATTCTATAGTGTCATCGAGATGTGAACCAGAAAACTTATTGCGTGGTGATAAGATTTTATTTGATTAGGATGGGTACTATTACATGGTATATTCTGTGTTTTCTGAGAGGCGTTTCTCATTTTTGCACCGTTCATCAGCTTATACGCTCCACATTGGTGAGTTTCGAGTGAAAACTTGACGACTTGGCTGGCCTGAGTTACCTGAAGATGGAGGGCAAAACTGACAGTAAAAAAAAAAAAAAATTTTAAAAAAAATTATTTTAAAAAAAAATTTCTGACAGGTAGCCAACATATGTAGCGTCGGAGGTCATTCTGGAAACGGGGTTAGTTTTGAGAGTTTCGATATATGATCTTGTTTCCTCTTTCCGTTGTACGTTAAGATCCTTTCTCAGCTTTGTTACTCTCGAACTCAATGTTTTTCTTTCACCATAACTCGCTGGTTTTATCGATGTTTTCGAGAGTATCATTATTTTTCAGTTACGATGAAAAGGTGGACATTTGGGCAACAGGAGTGATTCTATACGTGATGCTGTGTGGATTTCCACCATTTCAAAGGTGACTACTTGAATATTTCTTCTTATTTATTTTAGAACCTTACTTGATGAATTCCGACCCCTCAACGATTCTTTGTTTTGAATTATGAAGGTTTCCCAAGGAATCCCTTGCAAACTTTTGTAACGGTCTCAACTTCTGATTTTTTGTGGATTTTCTGCTATTTTTACCTTTATCTTTTACTTTTCATATCTACTGTTTTCTTTTCGCTTGAATATATTCAGTCGACTCGCATAATTTGTCAATCAGGCTAGTCACGGGTTTGTATCACTCATTCTTTTCATCCGTCAGTCAGCCAAAAGCCGCATTTTTGTATAAGATTGGCAGAATCTTCCTCTTGTTCGGGCTCCTATCGTTGAACATTTTATAGGAAAAACCTATGATTGAGTAGGTAGTGGCGGTAGGGATTCAGTGAGGTTATCCGAGTGTTATTGTTTCGACGAGGGAAGTTGGTTCCCACCGTAAGTGGTAGTGAGTCAAAGGGACGTTGTTTTTTTGCAAAGTGAAAACAAGTGGTAGCAGATCGGTCTCATTGTGACTCAATCGTTTTACGAATTTGATAATAGGCATTGAGCATTTACTCCCGAGGGAGGTATTGCTTGAAGAAAGCTTTCAATGGCCTCTGAAAACCTTGAAATTTCAGTTCCGACGGGTCCCAAGACGATCTATTCGCTCAAATTATGCGTGGTAGAGTAAGCTTCCCATCACCGTCATGGGACAAGATCTCCGCCTCTGCGAAAGCGCTCATTTTATTACTGGTAAATACTGATAAGGAGGAGCGGTTCTCCGCTCATGATGTGCTGGACAATCAATGGATCAAGGTTGGTCTTATCTTTGAACCTGTTTAGAAGATTTATTTTTCCATGATTCCGATATTTTTTTACGGGATTATATATTTTGTTGCTTGACATGGTTTTCATCCTCAGTTTTCCTTTGCCTTGTGCGCTTATTCGCATGGGCATAGTTTTCTTTTTGCCATTCACTGAACCAACAGACATATCGAAATTGCCGTATTTCAGACCTTGTCCGATGTACCGTCAGATTTCGAATCGATGGCAGAGTTCATAGTCGAGTCTAGAATAGATGCAGATGTGAGTTTTTTGAACAATTAAATGTTTTTCCTCAAATTCCTCACATTGCTTTGGTTTTT